TACCTCACATTCCCTTGGGGAATAATACCAAACCACTTACGGAGAGAAAAAAAGCATTTTTCTCGCTATTTTTGAACACATTGCACACTACAGACCGCACATCTACGCCTGGTGGTCCTACCACCTATCTCTCTTCATTGATACTGTATTTTGAACCGCATATATACTGCAAATTAGAAAATGTTTCATCTGTTGCTTATACTCTTCAGCTAGCAGAGTTAGAAATATTTTCCAGCATCACAGAGCTGTTGGATGCAAGGCGCCCCTGAACGTCATCGTGTCCAACTGCCCTCTCAAAGCTAATGCCAACCCTACATCAGGTCAGCCCTAGCTTTTCCTAGCTGAAGCTTGAAAACATCCGAGGATGGCGACCCATAACTCTCTGGGTAACCTGTTCCAAGTACCGCATCCCCTTCTCAGCGAAGGCTTTTTTCCGTAGTATCTAACTTGAACTGCCCATGCTGCAACTTGATGTCACTCTCCCTCATCATACCATCAGCCACTATCAAGAACAGCTTGGCTCTGTACCTCCTCTTTGACTGTCCATTTAGACATACGTGGTAAGAACAAATGTTGAAGTTAAAAAGGATATCACGTAGTAGCAAAAAGGTGAACAGTCATATTGAAAATAAGCAAATATAATAATAGTTCTAGACATGGAAAAATACTCTGTTCGTAACGCAAATGAAAATATTCTAGCATAAGGGATCTTGCGCAAAAAACGTTTACTTTGCACTTGAACAAACTGACAGGAGGACAAAATCCTTTTTATCCAGACAATATAAGAGAATTTTACCAAATGTAGGTTGATTCAAAAAACAGTCCAGCATTCAGAAAAGGCACCTCTAGAACTCCTTTTTAAAGGATACTTCTCTCTTGCTACCCATTTCCAACTCTCAGGGTAGAAACCAGTGCTGGGAAGGCAAAGCATAGTGGGAAAAGGAAAGGAAGGGAGAAGATGGCCATATGCACAGTAGCAGGAGTTAGTGGAAATGTAAAGGAAGAAAAAATAAAAGAAAACGCTTTACCTGGGATACAGCAACAGCACTTGACAAAACAGAAAAGTTTAAAGAAGACAGTTTTCCTCAGCTGCTCTGTTCTAAGTTAACTCAGTCTTCAAGGAAGAACTACAAACACCTCTGAACTTGTCCTACTGTGCAGCAGCAAGTGGATGCGTGTTTGTCCCAAGTAAGACCTACTTGAGGCAGAAAGTGACGATGATGGTTTCGGGTAAGGAAACATTTTTTTAAATCTCGTAGACATGTTACAAGAGTGCCATCTACCGCGAGAAGGCACTCAAAGCTAAAAAAACCCGCTATTCTATACCGAAGGGAACACAAAATCTTTCGCAAATGAGAAAAGACCGTACACGCACAGGCGTCAGGTACATAGTCAGGCTGACCGGCAGCTCCCAAAGCCTGTCACATCCCGTACTGCGAGAGCCGGACGGAACGCTCCTAGTCTTCAGCAACTCAGCACACACCGATCCGCGCCAGGCCAAGCGTCGATACGCAGCGGTCCCGCAGACGGCAACTACGGTAGCGAGTTTCCCCTCAGGCGAGTAACGGCGCAAGGGTCGCTCTCGCCACCACGCGCGGCC